CAAAAAAAAAAAAAAAAAAAAAAAAAAAAAAAAAAAAAAAAATCAAGCCACTAGAGGGGTTTAATATAGTCTTGTGCTTCATTTTCACTTTTTTATTCCGAAGTACTAGGGATTGAACCCAGAGCCTTGTGCATATGAGGCAAGCACTCTACCTACTGAGGTACATGCCCAGCCCCCTGTAAAGTTCTTCCTACAGAGGCCAGCTAGGTAATGTAAATGAGTCTAGTATTCCAGTCTCAGTGGGAACTGAGAACTGGAGAAGACAAGCCCACTTACTCATTTTGGCTGATGGTTGGTGGTACTCAAACTCTGATGTCAGATCTTCCTGTTTTCTAAGAGACTTCATGAATTAGGAATTTTAATGTGAAGTATCCCAATTTTTAAATCTTAACAACTTATTCAATTTTTTTAAACATAGAGGACTAAAAAATATATGTTAGCAGGCCAAATTATGATCCATTACATGTCCAACTTCAACCTGGACAATACAAGCAAAAAGGTTTGTGTGTGGTAGTGACTTGGTCGGAGTATTTTCAGATGCCTTCGYGTACCTGAGCTATTTATATTTGTTTCTGTGTCCTTGCCTGTTTGATCTTGGCTGTCAGATATCAAGCATGATTCAGCTCTGTACTCTCCTCCCCCACATCCACCAAGCACCCATATGAGGCATTAATAAAGTCYCCTGAAGTAAACTTTTTTAAGTTTTATAAGCAGAATTGGGGTATAGCTTAGTGATAGGGTGCTTAGCATATTAAATCCCAAGCACTGAAAGAAATAAAAATAAAATTTTATAATTTCCATCAGGAGTTTTGGTTATATTTGTGCATAGCATTCAACTTATGAATTTACTTATAGGAATTTAATTAATCAGGGATATATTATAATATTTTTATAGAAGAATTTTATCTTTATGTAAAATAATGACAAAATTGGGAGAAAAAAATCTAAATATCTAGCAATAAAGATTAATGAACATATTATAATGCACATGAGCATTATACAACCATTAAAAATTAAGAGTCAGGGGGCTAGGGTTGTGGTTCAGAGGTACCAGGTTTGATCCTCAGCACCACATAAAAATAAAATAAAGATATTGTGTCCACCTATAACTAAAAAACAAGTATTTTTTAAAAAATTAAGAGTCAGTAGATTGGGAGGATCCTGAGTTCAAAGCCAGCCTCAGCAACAGTGAGGCACTAAGCAACTCAGTAGTGAGAGCCTATCTCTAAATAAAATACAAAATAGGGCTGGGAATGTGACTCAGTGGTTGAGTGACCCTTGGTACCAAAAAAAAAAAAAAAAAAATTAAGAGTCAGATGCAACTTATCAAGACCCTATTTTAGGATTGGGGATATAGCTCAATTGGTAGAGTGCTTGCCTCATGTGCACAAGGCCTTGAGTTCAATCCCCAGCACCACCAAAAACCCTCAGGATTCCCATTCCT